GTCGCAAACCCTAGCGCACCTCCGAGGGACCAAGAAGGTTCTAGAAGGTTCCAATTGGAACAGCGCGGAGCGCCGCTGTAGGAGGAACCTAGGGTTTATGCGGACGGCGTAGAGAGAGGACTGGGATCCGTGACCGTAGTAGTCGTTGTAAAAGGACCATTTTGCCCTCAGGGCGAGGGCGGCGGTGGAGTAGGTGGTGTGCATTAAGGGAGGGAGAGGGAGGGGATTCGCTTACCGGCGAGCATTTGCTGGTGAGATTACCGCTGGGGTGCGGTCACCGCACGTAGACCAACACAGCAGGAGCTCGTGGGTTTGGTCACGGGAGATGAGGTGACACAGAAGCTCGGGAATAAGATGGGCCGCCGGAACTGTTGTCACACGTGAGTGCGTGGGCCCATTCCTACATTCTCTTGTACGGACCACCTTTTGTCTGAAGCGTCTTCGAATTTTTTTTTTTTTAAAGATGACATTTTAAAGGGCTAATTGTAAATTTTATTTATGCAGTGCTGAGCTATAAATCACTAGTATTTCTCAAACTACTTTATCAATACTTATTTTATTTACTCTTGTTGAACTCTAGATGAAAATATTTTTCAAGTTAGATTGAGATATCACTCTGTATTTGGGAATAAAAAGCAGGTTAAAAGGTATTAAGTACTAATTAAAGGCTTAGAGTATACAACCAAAAAAATAAAATCCAATTTTACAAATGAAATTGGAATTAAATTTATATAAATATAATATAAGTAAGTAAGCTTCTTAAAAACGTGGTAAATTGATTAGACCAGCAATCCAAGAGACGAAGTCAAATATTGCACTGTCATGGTTACAAACACAAAAAATATATCTCTACAGGTGCGCATATAATCACGCAACAAAAAGCATAATGCCACCAAAAGTGAACATTTCATCCAGACAAACTCACGACAAAAAACTCATCACCGAACATGGATAAACTTTAGGAAAGCCTAAAAAACAAGCAATCAAAATCTTATACATATTGCTTTCTTGCTACTGCCTCTAATCAACATCCATTGTAGCAACAACAATCTCACTACATGATTACTGTAATGAAAGCAACAACCGCATACAAAATTTATGATATCAATTAATACGAGGGAAGTAAATTAAGCCATAGATGGAAGTCTTATATTAATCATAATATGTTCCATTTGTGCTCCAAAGCATTGCATATCCTGCCTAAGCAGCAAGCTGCACTTAGCGGGTAATTAGAAACTGCAACAAAAGAAAATAGTGAAGGGCGTTAGCAATATTCTCTTCATATCAGACAGGAAAAATAGCCAATTTAATTATAAAGTGTCAATATCAAACTAATATAAGGCAAATAATTTAAGGGTTAACTGCACATAGACCTCCTGTAGTATTGTCATATTGAACTCACTACCCCTGTAGCTTCGTTTTGACAGAAAGGTCCCCTGGGTGTTTTTTTTTTTTTTGACATTTTCACCCTCAGATAGATTCACTAAATTTACTCAGAGGCAATATCTGATATACCCTAGATAAAGAGTCAAAAACATTTCACCAAGGGGGCTACCTGCTAAAATGAAACTACAGGAATTAAGTTCAAAACAAATATAACTAATTTTTTTTTGGGGGTTTTTTTTTTTTTTTTTGTGGGCGGTGGGGGGTGGGGTGGGGGGTGGGCAGGAATTGTACAGAGTATATATATAAAAGAAAATGTTGATGACAAAGTTAGTGTCACTCCACTTATGTGATTGTGTCATTGCTTATGGTTCCTGAGGCATGCCACACCCAATCTGTCCAATTGCTACTCGACAGCATAGATCACTTGTATTGAGGAGCTTAAATCTGGCTTCCAAGGGCATTACAAAGTTATATAAAATGTGGAATATGAGTCACTGTACAAGTTTCTTTTATAAACAAGATTTTCCTCTCAATGATCAAGTTTGTGTTACCCACTTAACTGCTCACTAGTAGGTGCTCCACCCCCCAACCCCTATAATCAATCACTTGTTGTATGAACTCAAGTCTTATTTCCAAGGGCAAAGGCACAAAGTTAACTCAAATCTGAAATATTAATCACTGATTACGGTACTGATGCAAGTCACTGTATAATTTACTTTTATATACAAGGTGGTCTCTGCCCCCTCCTCTCAATATTTCATGGGAACATTTTCTGAACTTGTGAGTCGCCTTACTGACTCTCCTCATGTTCCTTCAAAAAATAAGAGTACAAATTATGCTCAAAATTCTATCCACTCATGCGTATATGCAACCTTGATGAAAAATTTCACGAGTTTATGGTCTCCTAGAATTAGCGTTGTGTATTTACTTTCAAAGTACCAATCACATATGCATCCTTGAAAAAATATTAAATTTGTATCAATATTTCTGGTAGTCAACAATCATGCACATAATTCCGTCAACTTTAGTTATCCAAAGGATAATGTTAACTAATATTATACATTATAATTTAATTAGTTTAGGAATTCAATTATCTAGTGGAATAAAAACAATGATGCATCAGTTACAAGCATTTTCAATTCTTTTATCTACTCCATATTTGTATAATCTTTAACAGTCCTTCAAAGGAGTCAATATTTCTTGTATTCTGCCTCCACAATGATATCAAGCTTCCATTACCCACAACAATATAGGTTACTCCCTCAAGATTTAAGACATCATCTTTTATCTATGTCATCAAAAAAAAATTTAATTGACATTCCACGAGCATGTTAACCGTAAATTTCAGACACAGGTATATACACCAATTATGGTGCAATAGACCAAAGAATGTGATGTGATGATATGTAAGTCATTGCATTGGCATCCAGTGCTCAGGGACTGCCACGATACATTGCAGGGATTGCCATGATACATTGCGCACATTGAATTTGGCACAGATAAATGAGAAAGAAGAGCAATGCATAAGAAAGAGAATTATTATCAGTCAAGTGCTTAGTTTGTTTTAAAAAAAAATAATTGTGGAACACTTAGCCATGTTTGATTTTATTACTGCTGAAAAGCATAAAGAACTGTAGCTCAATATGCATACTCTAACCCTCATAATTATCATCTAAGCATGCATACAGTAATTTCAGATGCAGTGGAAGTGGTAAAATCACTAAAGAATTCAAATTCTAATAATGATTAAGATAAAAGTGAACCAAACAAAGCATTAGTAAACTATATTAAACATGAAACAACAACAATTGCTTTTGTCTCTACATAGCTCTTTAGACAATGAGAAACTGCATCATGTCATTATTTAGGTTTTAATCATCTGCATTGCTCCAGACAAAACAGTATGGTTTGGTAAGAAGTTATTTAAATCAACCATTTAATGGCAAGAGAAGCTTACTTGATATAAAGTCATCTGTATAATCATTATCAATCTTTCCATGTGCCATAGCACCCACCTGCATAAACGCATAGGAATGGTTATACCCATATGATGACACTTCGATAATCAACTTAAGATATTAGATATTTTTATACCACGAACACAAGGTTGACATCATCACTAGCAGCAGCCACATAATCTCTCATTTGAACCATTTTCTCTGAACTATATGATAAGCCTGGATAACCATCTGGCAATTTTAGAACCAATACAATAATGATGAATAAACTAGTAAACAGAAAAGAGGAAAGCACTTACCAATTCTTCGTGAATTGACAGGCAAATGACGTGTTACAGGATTCTTTATGACATTTAGAAGTTTCTCACGTTTTCCGGAGGCAGTAATACTCAAATTTTGAAGTAGCTGGACTGCAAAAAACGAAATGCAAAGTGTTATGAAAAGATTAAGAGTTTCAAGCAAAGCATAAGTTATGTGCAGAATTTTTGCTGCATAATAGATAGAAGATATCCTATAACTTACGCATGAGACCACAAAATCTCTTAAATGTTCGTGGCATGCGAACATGTGGTTTAACTTCAAAAAGTACTCCCTTTTCAGTTCTTACATATAGGGCTTGTAACCTTCCTGCCTTTGTTAGGGGGCTGTCCAGTATTGCGAGCAGGGCCTAGTTTTGTTAAACCAAGAACAAGTGATATCAAAATCAAATGGAAAACAAGACAGAGTTACAATATTCTAAACATCAACAACCAGAAAGCAGGAAAATTTTAAGGCTTTTGACCATTAGTTTTAAACAAAAGGACAACAAAAGCCGAGCCTGTTGGTTGGATGATTTTCGTTCTTCCAAACAACGATGCACATAACTCCAAGCTATAAAACTGATATTGCACCTCTAAGCTTATTTATATTAACAGATAAAAGGTCAAACCAGATAAAGGACCAAATGGTGAATTTAATTCAGTATTCTCAGCAAAAAGTAGATATGAACAGAAAATATTGGAACTAGACATTTGAAGAACTAACAGCCGCAGGCAGATCGACAGAAATTGAACCATTATGTGTTACTTAAATGCAAGAGCATATGCATAAAAAGCAATATAACTACTACAACTCCAGCCTAAAAACAAAGGACACAATTGAAATTCCACCAACCTGGTGTATGATATCAGGCCTGTAATCAGCAGGGTTACGATTCTGCTTCTTCAGAAAGTTGGCATGATCATCTGAGTTCAAGATCTGGTAAGTCTGAACATAGACCAAAAAGAAATCCTAAATTACAAGAACAAGAGAAAGATAAAGGGAGGAAAAAAACATAGTCACGTATCACCAACAAATAAAAAGGTTTATGTACACCTTGCAGAATAATATTTACAATAAACAAGTTGAAATTCTGGCTATCCCAAATGTGCCTTATAGGTTACAGGTCCCATACGTACAAAAAATTATATAACTAGGATTCAACATCACATCATGAATTATGATTTTTTTACCTCCATATTTCACTTTTGTGCCAAGATAGTTATTCATACATATGTAAATACCGTGTTCTGCAAAATTTATTTATTAGGATAGACAAGCTTCAGGATCTAGAATATATCTGAACATAGACCAAAATGAAATCCTGAATCACAAAAACAACAAAAATATAAAGAATAGAAAAATCACATAAAAGTTAAATAAAAAAACAAGCAAACATTTGTGTTCATTTACCAGAATAACATTCGAAGTGTAATTTCGGATCCAAAATAATTTTTACTTTTCATACACTTAACAAATATTATATACCTAACATTCAGCACAACCGTACAAATCGATTCAGTTTTTTTAAATGATATATATTGCTTCAAATAACATGTGGCACTGATAAAAACAATTCTCAGTCAAATTATACTGCAAATTATGTAATACTTTTGTAAATAAAGTTGATCTGATGATTAACTTTAAAAGTCTATTCCACACAGAACATGCTCGACCGGGTAAATGAAAACATAATAAGGAAGCAAATACCCTCTGAAATGATCAAAGTCCAAGCAGCAGAATCACACTGTAGCATACAGATCGTTTCAAAGTAACCCATATAGGCTAATTTTTTGCCAGGATAGGTTAAGTAAATGATCCTGATGGTTCATTACTTGATTTTCCATAACTATGACTCAACATCAATTGAGGATTTCTTAATTCCCCTACTAGACACATTAATTGCCTTAAGTAACTCATAGTGCAACGTGTACAGTTAACAAATTTGCATTGACAAGCTTCACAGACAAATGAAATACTATCAGCATACACACTCTTAATCTTATACAACTTTTGATCACTAGAAATTGTGTAGATTTCAAGAAATAATCTTCGCAACATACAAGTTTCGACAGTCAACAATATGCTAATTGAGGCTTTTTTTTATCCTTCCTTTGCTAACTAGATATAATACTCATCAGGATACAAAATTAACATGGGTTTAACAATCTATTCTCATTCTAATATATAAAATTAGCTGTTAAAACCTTTATTTATGAGGTCAAACCTTAACACTCCTAAGGTCACTAGCCCATGAAATCTGCCATCTCTACTGTACAAGTTTCTTAGATTTGCATCCAATTGATGAATCCAGTGACGTAAACCTACAGCTAAAACCCTAAGAATCAGCGGTGAATTTACCTGAAAGAAATGGCAAAAGATATCAACTTTCTTACCTTTCCAACCTTGGCGAACTCGAGACACGCCCTTTCGAGCACAAAAATCACCCCAGGCTTCTTCTTAGGATCCTGAACCCTCGGCGCGATCGGTATCCCCGGCATCTCTTCGATGGCCTCCTCGGCTTTTCTCTCGTCCTCCGCCGTCGACTCTCCTTTCTCTTCGTTTTCTAGGGTTTCTTCATTCTCTTTCTCAGAGACCGCCTCATCGTTTTCTTCTTGTTGCTGTTCTTCTTTTTCTTCTTCTTCTTCTTCGACTCTCGGTCTCTTCTTTGGCTTTTTGCGCCCTTTGACTGCGTACGGACGCACCATCTCCCTTACTCTTTTGGGTTCGGAGGTGCGCTGCTGTGGTGAGATTAGGATTAGGGTTTTAGAGGGTTTTCGTCCTTTTGATGGAGTGGGGATTTTGTTACGCCTTTTTTCACTTATATACCCAATTAAATCATATTTACAATTTCAGGGTACCCGGCTCCTCTGAAACCCTGATTTCAACTGATTAAGTGGTGAAAACTTACTCAAACGACCTAAGATGCATAAGGAATTTCTTACACTCCTGCTTCGTGCCCAAAGATCCTAGGAAACGCCGGAGTTTGGCCCTGTAATAATCCAAATATACAGAAATGAGAAACAAAGATGGGTTGACGGATCGCAGCGGTGACGGTGACGGAGACGGAGACGGAGCGCGTCGACGGAGGGCGGTAGGGCTGGACTTTGGAGCTGCGGTGGCGGCTGGATCTGAGGTTGGAGAAGATTTGGAGAACGGGCTTTGAGAGCTAGGTTAGATTTTGGGATTTTATCCTGAGGGAACACGGGTCGGGTTACGTTAAAATGGGCATGGGTAATGGCGGTCGGTTCGGGTAGTTCGGGTTGAAAATTTTTCAACCCGACCCGAACCGACTAAGAGTTAAAACCAAACTGAACCGTTGATTTTCGGTCGGTTCGATCGGTTTTTTCGGTTTGGACCGAACCATGCTCACCCCTAAAAACAATGCAATTCATGGCAACCTAAAACCCTTTTCAGTTATAATACTTAATTTCTTTTAATTCTAATATTATTTTTCTCTTTTGTGGAAGATAAATTCCAATATTCTTTTTAATTATACTAGTACGATGCACGTGCTTTGCACGTGTGTCCATTTTCATGTTTATATGAAGGCTATAACTGCGCATTGCAATGATAATTTTATGTATCTAATGTACAATTTTATTATATAATAGTATTTCAAATTAGTTTGATTTGCATTAACACTTTATTAGATATCAAATCAGTTTTTCCAATCATAAAATTCATACATTCTATTTAGGGTAAATTTCACAAATGGCCCAGGATAAAGCCCTCAAAATTTTAAAATGTCACAAAACTCTTTAAGTTTTAAGGTTCTCAGCCAATTTCACCCATGAGTAATTTCAGGAAAGGGTAATTTGGTCTTAACCCTAAAAAATTAACTCAATTTAGAATTTTTAATGGAGAAAATTAGTATCCTTAATATATATATATATATATATATTTCTCCTTCATTACCTTGTTCTTGATACAACATTGACATAGAAGAGAATTTTTTTTTATAATAAACTTAATAACTCAAGTTCAAAAATTTCTTACTTAGCAAATAATTTGTTCTAATTTGTTTTTCAAATGCTAGTTTATTGACTCAAGATTTATAATTAATTAGTTTTTATCATAATTTCACCAAACAAATAGCTACTTTTAGGTTCATAAATTTCAATAAAAATGTTATGATATAAGAACTAAGAAGCTAAAATAGATCGCCAATGCAAGAGATCAAATCACTCTTCGTCAATCAAATCAACATTCAGTTTCAAAGATTAAACAACAAATCAAATTCTTCTAATCAATAAAAAAAAGATAAAAAAGATGAATAGATTTGCGACCTTGTATAATTGTCAATATACTCTTTATTTTTTATTTTCCTTTTCATCATTCAATTTTATTCCACTAACTTTTTCAGTGAATCTAATATGAATATGTCGTTATAATATATTAAATTGACTTAGTTATTAATTAAATTATTAAATTAATTATAATTAATTTACTAATATATAATAATTTTAGCCTCAAACTAATAAGCTACATAATTAAGATATGAGTTTTTTTATTTTTTTTAATTCAATGCACGTAATCATGTAAAGAATCACTAAAAACCTCATAGTTAACAAAATGCCGCACGATTATGGTTTGAGAAAAAAATAGAATGCAAAAATGTATAGAAACTTTAATTATTATTTATTAAATGAATCACATATTTTTACATCATCTCCAAAAAAGGACAAAAAATAATTGAACACCTTAGATCTTAGTCTATAGCAATGTTGATCAAGAAAAGAACATGAAAATTATAAAAATCGTAGATAAAGTAAGCTTGAAAATGCCAAAGTCGCAAGCAGCAAAGAGAGCTAAATTTGGCTCTTTTCTTCTCAATCAAAATTTTAATTACGAATTAGAATATTGATTGGAAAATTTTCATAAAATTTTCTTATTATTTATAGTGATTTGGTAGGAGAGAAATAGTTGTAACGTTTATTTATCATTAGTGCGCATAAAGTTATGTTAGTGTACATAATTTAAACTTTAGATGTTGTTTTCTAAAATAGCCCAGTAACTTATATTTATATTGTGACATTTTAGTTTCACAACTAAACCAGTCATTCAACGTGTAGTATATTTAGATTTTAGTTTAACTAAACCATCAATGCAGTTAGAATAGAATGTTTGTTGTTGAGTCCGTTCTTCAACAAAACATTCAAATTTATGAAGTACAGTTTGCTCAATGAGCATGAGTGTGACTTAAGAATAGCTAGGGTTCCAACATTTATCATACAACTATATATGTTTACAACATTTCTTATAGAAGTAAAACTATAATTGAATTTTCTGATATGAAAAAGATCCCCAGTAAACCGTAACAATATAATTGGGGAAAATCAAAGGGGTAAAAAAATTATATGCAGTGATTGTTATTAGTACCACGGCTTTGAAGTACAAATTGCTAAGTGTAGATAGAATCCAATAAATAAAGTGCTAATCTAAATATGTGTTTGTTATCATAACCATCTAGCATTATTTTTCACAACAATAAGAAAATTATAATAATACTATGAACGACGATTAAAATTTTACTAACCTTTGATGTCTGTTCCTTCTCTTCCTCTACTTTTCTCCAGGTTCTATTTTCTATTTGATGTGGGATAGTTGGATTTGAGGAAATACGATCAATTTATAGGAGTCACATGACTTTTGAGTTATAAACTGAAATTTTCATTACTAACAATGCATAATTGACGTGTAAATGAGTTTTTTGTAACTGTAGTGGAAATAATAATAACCATGATAAGAGTATCGGCTACTGTTTTTGTAACTCATGATTTGATGGTATTTTAATATATGTGCATTCTTAAGTTACTAAAAAAAGCTATTAAATAATTCAATCTAGAGAGTGGAATGTGCTTGTTGTCAACTCTCACATCATTATTTTTGTAAGTAAAATACTATTGTTTTATATAAACTAAAAAATTTATTGAATAAAAGGATAAATTTTCAAAATAGATGAGTTAGTGGAGGAGTGTTATGAGTGGGTGATTAATTGAAAAATTAATGACAATCAATTGGGAGGTTATGAAAAATTGAACATGTATGTCTTCATGTATGTATGCATGCATGGAGGGAGGTTATAAAAAAATTGAGCATGTATGTATGAATGGATGTATTGAAGGGCATTTTAGGTAGAAATGTTTTAACATGGCAACCCACTTTTATAATTTTAAATTTATAAATTGAGATAGTATGTATGAAAAATTGAGCATATATGTATGAAAAATAACAGTGGGTTGCCATGTTAAAACATTTCATAAAATCATTTAGTTACTAATTCAAAGAAGATAAGATAAGAATATATTATGATAACAATGTAATATTTAAAAAAGTTAAGGATAATACTGACCATGAAAAGATTTTCTCACTCGTACTTTTAAAGGGAGTATATATATATATATATATATATATATATATATATATATATATATATATATATTGAATAAAAGGATAAATTTTCAAAATAGATGAGTTAGTGGAGGAGTGTTATGAGTGGGTGATTAATTAAAAAATTAATGACAATCAATTGGGAGGTTATGAAAAATTGAGCATGTATGTCTTCATGTATGTATGCATGCATGGAGGGAGGTTATAAAAAAATTGAGCATGTATGTATGAATGGATGTATTGAAGGGCATTTTAGGTAGAAATGTTTTAACATGGCAACCCACTTTTATAATAGTATGTATGAAAAATTAATGTACTAATAATATAAATTTTTCATACATACATGCTCAATTTTTCAAAAAGTGGTTTGGCATGTTAAAACATTTCTACCTAAAATGCCCTTCAATACATCCATTCATACATACATGCTCAATTTTTTTATAACCTCCCTCCATGCATGCATACATACATGAAGACATACATGCTCAATTTTTCATAACCTCCCAATTGATTGTCATTAATTTTTCATACATACATTTATAAATTGAAATATGTGATTGATATAGTCCTACATTAATCAAGTGCTAGGCCCAAATAACAGCAGCCCTCTACTTTTGTCAAATAGAATGCGGCCTAACCTATCTGGATCTACATTGTTGGGCCTCATTTGAAAACCAACAATCAAGTTTTTGAGTAGTTTGGAAACATCCATTTTGTGAAAACTGGCTCAGGACCTGCTTGGTTATTTTAGTGGAAAATCCTTTAAATTCAAGATTTTATATATATATATATATATATATTATTCATACTAGTATAGTGCACGTGTGTTGCACGTGGTATATGGCTATATCAAAATAACTAAAAGAATAATATATAGATATTGAATGAACGTACTAATAATATAATGTATTTATGTTTTTCTCTAGTGTAATATTCTTCTTTAAAAAATTATCATTTTAATAAATATCTTGAGTATCATACTAATATTTTATTCGTGCATTCAAACTTGTTCGTGGATTCGAAGATTGTCCGTTGTGGATTCCGAGGTTACTACTTCCCCGCTGCGTCAATATGTATGAGTAATAAATTAAATATATGATAAATAATTATAATATAATTATATAATATTATGATATTGTAAGGAATTAAACTAAATTATAATATTGAATTATATTAAATCATTAATTATGATAAGTAATTATATTAATACCTGTAATATTTATATGATGTATTTCATCATTTATAAAAAATGGATTAGATAAGAAATTTTTTATAACAATAATAGATCTTACAAAGCGACAAATAATTCCATAATTGATTCGTATATTTCATGGACGTAATCAATCAATCAAACAAAAAGTAGGATTGTGGGCACAAATAAACTACATAAGAACGCATATATAAAATTAAAAGTACCTATTGAATTCATAACATCAAAACTTTCAAATTCATATAATAATACCCACTGTCGACAGTACAACATCATCACCAGATTTCTCACTTTGCACCAGAGAATTGTTAGATCCAACGCATACCAGATGGTATATATATTTGTTCCAGCTTTCTTTACAATAAAGAATCTTGATCTCAATCTCCTACTCTTAATGTTGCAACCGTTCCTCCCAATAGATGAAAGCTTAAATTCCAACATCATCGATCCAACCTAATACACGATATAGACCGGTTCAATGCGCATCTTAGGTCACCCATTTTATTACTGAACTTGCCTGCATAGGTTTCTTGACATGTGTTGGCACTATTGAGTTAGTTCTTG